TTTTATTACCTGTCATGTCAAAGACTCATCTTCAGTATTTCCAGTGGATGCATCATTCATTGAATAGTTTGGCTAATATAGGCTCATTTGCTGCTTTCCATGATATTCCCTCGACATATACTAAATTGCGGAATGGGCAATATGGTGCCTGTTAACACCTCCTTTTCGGGCTTCCTGTGCTACTGAATTTATTCTTATTTTAAATTAATTAAAAAAATTAAATGCTATGTTTGGTCCTTCACCAGGTAATTCTTGCTGGGTCTTTAATCTACTATATTCTTGTGATCTTCAGTATGAATGCTGGCTGGATTTATTTGGACCAGCATAATCCCTCTGACAGGGTTGTTGTTATGGGGAAAAATGGGAAGAAGAAGGAGTAAGTTCGCCACCTTGAGTATAATTAATAAAAGTGGGATTAAAAAAATGTCCAAATATATGTGTCCCAGGATAATGTTGCAGGGTCCAATCTTGGTTGGTCACTAGGACCAGAGGTTTTAGTCTTCTGAGCTTTTGGACTTGTGCTGGAGGCCCCATCTGTGGGGAACTTCTCTCAACCGGAATGTAGAGAGGAGTTTCCTGAGGATGGGCTCCAGCATGAGTCCAAAAGCTCGGAAGACTAAACCTCTGGTCCTGGTGACCGACCCAGATTGGATCCTGCAAGTCCAAATAAATAAAATCGGGGTGGACCCTAACTGTGTATGTAATTACACTTTTTCTTACTGTAATTATCTCCATTATAAAGAGTTTTTAAGGGAGCAGCTAACAATGAAATTGTTGGGACTTAACTATTGTTCAATTATTTGCTTTTTCATCTAAAGTTGAATATAACATTGAAAAAAAAACTGTGATGTGCATGAAAGGATTTGTTATATAATAAAAGTTTTTGCCTTGCTGATTATTTAATATCAAAATCTCCATTGTATTGTTAATGTGTGTCTGTGTCATGTTAATGAAAGGAAAAATAGATGTGCAGAGCATATATAAGAAGAATTAAAACAACAAAAAGTAGAAAAAAAAACACCCCAGAAAATAATAAAAAACCCATTGGGTTTCTGATTTCTTCCTTTTTATACACCTGCTATTTTCCCCTTCAGGTACATCTCCATTAGTGCAATTAATGAATCACAGGAAACGATTGTATTATTTGAATTTGTACTATATGAAATGATATTTCTGTGGTGAAAAATATGATAATTGATTCAAGCTCGAGGGAAATAGGCAATGAAAAATTTTAAACATAACTTTTATATGTATATAAAATATTGCTGTAAAGGACAAAAAGAATATACTTTAAATTTATGGTGAACAATGTCACAGAGTATTATAGAAAGCAAATATGTTTTAAAAACATTAGAGTTAGACATTCAATATCATTGATAAAATGAAATTCAATGGTGAAAAAAGTAAGGTTCTACATTTAGGCAAGAAAAAACAAATGTACAGGTATAGTATAGGTGGTATCTTGCTCAATAGTAGCAACTGTGAGAGGGATCTCGGAGTCCTAGTGGACAATCACTTAAATATGAGCCAGCAGTGTGCTGCAGCTGCCAAAAAAGCCAACACAGTGCTAGGCTGCATTAACAGAGGGATAGAATCAAGATCAGGTGAAGTGCTGATAGCACTTTACTATGCCTTGGTAAGGTCACACTTGGAATACTGCATCCAGTTTTGGTCACTACGATGTAAAAAAAGATGTTGAGACTTCAAAAAGAGTATAGAGAAGAGCAACAAAGATGATTAGGGGACTGGAGTCTGAAACATATAAGGAACGGTTGCTGGAATTGGGTATGTCACTCTAGTTTAATGAAGAGAAGGATGAGGGGTGACATGATAGCAGTGTTCAATATATCAGGGGTTGCCACAGAGAAGAGGGAGTCAAGCTATTCTCCAAAGCACCTGAAAGCAGGACAAGAAGCAATGGATGGAAACTAATCAAAGAGAGAAGCAACCTAGAACTAAGGAGAAATTTTGTGACAGATAGAGAACAATTAATGACAGCCATTTATCTGAAATGTTACAGGGTTTCCTGTCTGAGCAGGGGGTTGGACTAGAAGACTTCCAAGGTCCCTTCCAACTTTATTATTACTATTATTATTATTATTATTCCTTCTGTTTCATGACATTTCTAATATTTATTATAGTATGATCTGTCTATCTTAGATGTTACTGATGAAGTTGTACACCATCTGTAAAATATTATATACCACTCTTCCTTTCTTGTTATAATTTAGTGTGGGCTTTATAGATAAGGTCCATAATTCTTCCCATTGTTGTGTTCTAACTATTCTTTAAAGTTTTGCATCCATTTTTTTTGTTTGTTATGTCTCAGTGTTATATTTCAGTAAAAGTTTACATAATATAAAATGCCCTAACAGGTGGTATCGGGTTTGTATTAACATTTCAAATTCTGTTTTTCTTAATGCCCCCCCCCTTCCTTCTTGAGATTTAATTGTATCCCCTGACTATTTGAAAATACATCAACAATGGTGGATTCCAGCCTTCGCTAAGTAGCACTTGCTGTATTTTTAGTCTATTTGTAGAATCTGAGCGAACCATATCTACATATGTAATTATATTTTTCTTGCTGTAATTATCTCCAACATGAAAAAGATTTGAAGGAGAAGCTAGAGGTGAAATTTTTTGAGCTTATTATTCCTTGTGGAAATTCATACTTTTATCAAATTTTGAATAATATGTCCTTTTAAGTTTTTGTCCCTCTTTTTATCTCTGTACCATAAGTATCTGTGAAGAACATTGGCTAAGTCAGCTCTTTCCAATATTGCCAATCTGCTTTTCGGAGATTTTATCTACTTTGTTATCCATGAGAGGAAGCTGCCTTTATGATACACTTTAAAATTTGGAAGATCAATGCCGCCTCTCCCTTTGCAATCTTCCAGGATTTTCTGTTTGATTTTAAGTCTTTTCCTAAGCCAGTGATGGCGAACCTTTTAGAGACTGAGTGTCCAAACTGCAACCCAAAACCCACTTATGCATCGTCGAGTGTCGGATGGGTTTGGCCCATTGGTTGGGTGTGGCCAATTGGGTGGGTGTGGCCCATTGGGTGGGCGTGACTGTGATAACGGCAGACAGGGTGGGACTAAAAAGTTCAATTAATTCCAACTTTGCAAGATCTTTGTTTTCCCCCGCGAAAAATTGAAATTGACTGATTGAACCTTTTTTTTTTTTTTTGAACACGGCAGCGGAGGCCTAAAGTGAAAAGGTTTTATAAAACCCAGCTGAAGGCCTAGGACTGGGCAACGGCACGCGTACCCACAGAGAGGGCTCTGAGTGCCGCCTCTGGCACCCGTGCCATAGGTTCGCCACCACTGTCCTAAGCCATATGATTTCCTGCAATTACCTCCATTCTTGTTAAATGCTCTCTGAAATTCTGATTGGTGCCATTTGAAATAAATTGATAATACATTCTTTTTAATAATTGTAATATATTCTAATCAAGATAGCTTTAGGTTCTTCCATCTTTCAAGGTCTCTTTTAATCCCTTACCATAATTTAATGTAGATGTTTTGATTATTTGATGATAATGTACATCTGCCATATATTATATTTTCTGAAATTATATCTTTGTTTTAAATAAAAATTAAATGAGAAAGTGCCATTTTTCAAAGCACAGCACAAGCCTTTAACACTGCTTTTAATTATTAGATTCATTTATTCATAAGCATGCCCCATACAAGCCATACAGCTATTCTTACAAGATAAGAATGTTTGATGGGTACAATTCAATACAGGTAGTCCTCAACTTACAACAACAGTTGAGCCCAAAATTTCTGTTGTTAAGCGAATTTTATCCCATTGTACGACCTTTCTTGCCACAGTTGTTCAGAGAACCACTGCAGTTGTTAAGTTAGTAATGCGGTTGTTAAATGAATCTGATTTCTCCATTGACTTTGCTTGTCAGAAGGTCGCGAAAGCTGATCATATGAACCTGGGACACTGCAACCGCCATAAATATCAGTAGCCAAGTATCCAAATTTTTGATCATGTGACCATGTGGATGCTGCATGGTTGTAAGTGTGAAAAAATGGTCATGTCACTTTTTTCAGTGCTGTTGTAATTTTGAACGGTCACTAAACTGTTGTAAATCAAGGACTATCTGTATCTGGAAGTATGTCTGCCTTTCCAGAAAAAAAAGGGTGGGGAAGAGACAGAGAGAGAAATTACCACTTTGATGGTACAGAGTATTTTGGAACCTATAAAACAGCAGTGAACAGCTTATTAGGTTATCTTTTGGTCAACATGTTTTGGGATTAGGTTACTCCTTTACAGTAGCCAACATTGAGAGTATCCACAATCCGCTATAAATATTCTGAAGGTGCTTGCTGCCCCCCCCCAAAGGTGCCTGTCCCTATTCTAACCTACATCCCATTAACCAGGTTCTTGTACATTTCAATTAAATGATAGAACTAACAAAATAAAGTGCCTACTTGGAAACAGAAGGTGTTAAAATAGTCCTATAGCTGTAGCTTTTAAATTTATGGCAGCTTGAGCAAAGATAGAAGCAGTGTTTCCAAAAAATGCTACAAGTGATAGTAGATTAATGGAGTCCCTTATGTTACTTCCGTAAACACTTTACAAGATTTGTCACAGTGATACATGGAAGATTGCAGCTTATATATATTGCCTCTTAGAATGGATTTGATAAGTAGTATGTGTTAGTTAATTGCTATAACCAGCCACTTTACTAAAATAGTAGGACATGGGCAAAGGTCTGATTAAACATTGATACCTGGAGAAAATTGACTCTTGATAAATTGTGTCTGTCATGCAGCAGACATCTGAGGTTGTAGTTTCCATCTGAGAAAGTCTTATTAGCAGCAAATTCTAGTTTAGCTTACAAGTAGTAAAAAATAAGCCTTCAAGTGTTGTGTGCAGAGTGTTTTTTTCTACAATAAATGGCTTCTTCTTTTCCTCTGTCACTCATAATATACCTCTGACCAAGAAGGTATAGACCAACAGTGTTCTATTCCCTCTTTTTGTAGAAGTTCCAGAAGCCAAGGCGCCTAGTCCTTCTATCAGTAGGCAGGTCAGCATTGAAACTGACAGAGTGTCCAAGGACTTCATTGAATTTCTTAAGACCTACAATAAGCCTGGCCAGGAGGTCTACAAGCAATGCAAACTATTCCTGGACACAATGCATCGCAAGCGGGTAAGTGAGGAGTTTGTTGGCCTTGGTGACTCATTTGGGGTTTTCTCTGCAAGAGTGAAATTCTGGAAGTAGAGCATCAAGCGCCTTTCATGGTGATGATAGCAAATAATAATAATAATAAAAAAATAGAAGGTAGGATATTCATTGATCTTCAGTTATGATCTGCTTGGGAAGTTATCCATAAGCATTATCTTTAAAGAAGGAGAAAATTATATTGTTTTTATGTGAAAGAAGATTAAGGGGAGGTTTTTGCCCAAATACAGGTAGTCCTTGCTTAATGACCAGTCACTTAGCAACTGTTTGAAGTTATGATGCCCCCCCCCAAGGTACTTATGACCCAGTTCTGAAGGTCCAATGGTGGCAAACACACACACACATACACACACTCCTGCAGTCACATGACTGGGTGTTTGGCAATTGGTTGCAGCATTTTGTAGTTATGTGGCCATGATTTACAATGATTTTTGCTGGTTTCCAGTCCTTGGGACAGATTTCTGGCAACAAATATGCATAGGAGTAAATGGACTCTCTTAATGACTGTTGCATTTGCTTTATGTTTGCTGCAAAAAAGATTGTATAAATGTGTTGATCCTGTGGGTGCTTTGACTTAAAACCATCATGACTTACAATGGAAATTCTGGGATGGTCGTAAATTGAGTATTACCTGTAATTTACTTTTTAAACAGAGTCATTTTAGATTTGTTCACAACACAGAAATGCAGGGAGCAAAGTTTTTTCTAATCTGTCTTCTAGTGTGCATAGAGCCATCTTTCCTTCTGAGAAATATGGAAGTGTGTTTACTATACGGATGAAATGAGCAAACTGTATACAATTCTACTTACAATCAGTAGCTTAGAAATTGCCCAGATGATGCTGCAGGCTATGGTATTATAAAATTTTGTGGAGTAGAGACATTTAAATAAATATCACAATTTAATAGATTGGCAGAATATAAATTAGGAAGGAAGGAAGGAAGGAAGGAAGGAAGGAAGGAAGGAAGGAAGGAAGGAAGGAAGGAAGGAAGGAAGGAAGGAAGGATTGCTAAAGCTTAGATTTTCTCGTGTGCCATTTTTGTGGAGAAATGTTTGTATAATTAAATATTTTCTGACATTCCCTAGCACTGATTCCCCTGTCATAACCTCTCCTTCTTCCTGGATCGTAAATGTTTTTCATCTTCTCTGAGAACCTTATTAAAGTTACTGATTGACCTGAAAATAAAGGAACTGGAAAAAGATATGCAGCCTCTAGTGTCTGCATTGTGCTGTCTGGTTCTGTGAAGAGTTCAGTGTGTTATTTGTAAGATTGGGACCTCCATTGAACTATAGGGCAGCCATAGGATGGAAGAAAGAGTCTGGTCCCCATATGGACAATCAACATAATAATATGTACTTGGATTTTATGAGCTCTCAAATCTGGGACATTACCCATTCTCACACATGTGACTGATTTCTCTTTGTAGGAGTTGAGTATTGAGGAACAGTCTGAATATGCTCAGAGCCTCTATCAGAACGTGGCAGATAAGCTACAGACTCGCTGGAAAGGTATTGTTCTGACATATTTTCCCATTTTATTTACAGAACTGGGAGGAGATAAGGGTAATGCACATTATGGATACAATTTTAGATGTGCTTCTTTATACCTGTGCTTGGAGTGGACTTGGAGGGGGGGGGGGACTTTTGCCTCAATGATGATGCTGGGGAACACATTTTGGTCCCTGTCTTACAAAGAAGATATCCTCCACCAATGCAGTATGGATGAAGGCTAGTCCACAAGGATCAAAAGTCCTGAACCCAGCCTTTCTAGAATCCTCAAGTTGCATTTTTATTAAAAGGGGGTTGAACAGATACAGGTAGTCCTCGACGTATGACCACAATTGAGCCCAAAATTTCCACCGCTAAGCAAGACAGTTAAGTGGGTGTTGCCCATTTTACAATCTTTCTTGCCTCAGTTGTTAAATGAATCACTGCAGTTGTTAAGTTAGTAACATGGCTGTTAAGTAAATCTGGTTTCTCCATTGACTTTGCTAGTCAGCCGTTCACAAAAGACGATTACGGGACACTGGGGCATTGCAACATCATAATTACAGGTCAGTCGCCAAGCGACCGAATTTTGATCACAAGACTATGGGGATGCTGCAGTGGTTGCATGAAAAATGACCATTAGTCACTTTTTTTCAGTGTTGTTGTAACTTCTAATAGTCCCTACACAAATGGTTTTAACTAAGGGACTATCTGTGTGGAAATGTGTACAAATGAACCTTCAGATATACAGGTAGTCCTCAACTTACAACCATTCATTTAATGACCGTTTGAAGTTACAGTGACACTGAAAAAAGTGACATGACCAGTTCTCACATATAAGGCCGTTGCAGCATCCCCACAATCACATCATCAGACTTCAGGTGCTTTGGCAACTGGCAGGTGTTTATGATGGTTACAGCATCCAAGGACCTGGGAGCTTGTGACAAGCAAAGTCAATGGGGGAAGCCAGGTTCACTTAAAAACTGCACGATTCACTTAACAATTGTGGTGATTCGTTGAACAACCATGGCAAAAAAAATCATAAAATGGGGCATGACTCATTTAACTGCTTTGTTTAGCAATGAAAATTTTGGGCTCAATTGTGATTGTAAGTTGAGGACCACTTGTATCTAGATATTGGAGACAAACAAAGCAGGAGGTCTATTTTTTTCTGGATAAAACTAAACATCTTTGTGAAAAAAGCTTCTCTACTTTCACTGGATGTGTTGCTAGGGAATCTTTGGCTACAGAATGAAGAATGTTCTGTTAGGTTCTTATTGGCATTTTTCCCGCCTAGTTATAGGGCTCCATTTAGTTGCTGGCTTAGTTTGCACTGTGCTCACCTCGTATTTATAGCAAAGTTTATCAATGAATGATGCAATGAGGGTTTTGATTTTCAGTTTCCTTGGACTTGGAGGGATGACTGGTCCAGGTTACCTTCCATGCCTAAGGATGCGTTGGAACCTGGGTTTCCCAGCTTCTAGTCCGACCCCTTAACTATTACATCATACTGGCTCTCAAATAATATCTGATGTAGGTGATGTTTTAATAAAAGGAGGTTAAAAATGGCAGATTATCTAACCTTAAAACAATTGCTGTGATGATATGAGGAAGAAGCTGGATGTGTTAGAACTCTCTGTTAGAATACTCTGAAATTTGATATATTTTTCTCATACAAGCCTTTTATGCTCCCCCAGTCTCCCCTAATGTTCCTAGCTCTTCTTTTAGACTCTTGTTTTTATATATAAGTGTATTGTGTGTGTGTGTATTATCTGTGTGTGTATACATAGATACAGACAGACAAACACACAAACATACTTTCTGTTTTAATGCATAAATCGTATATCTTCTAACTTTTCATTTTTTTAAGACTATAATATAGCTTTTATGCTTTTTAATTGATGTATAGTCAGTACGGTCATGTAGTCTGTGATCATTACAAAAATTTGTTTGTTCGTCTTTGTGTCTTTTTCAGTGCCTCCAGAAAAGGTGGAAAAAGTGACGGATCAAGTGGAGAAATACATAATGACCCGCTTGTATAAATACGTTTTCTGCCCAGAAACTACGGAGGATGAGAAGAAAGATTTGGCTGTCCAGAGAAGAATCAGGTTTGACTTTAGGACTAGTTTCTCCTCTTTAGATGCAAGATCCATTAACATTTGTTACCTACTTGTACCTGGATGATTCTGGCTGTAGCAGGCTTTTCTCTTAGGTTTCTCTTTGAGGTGATTGGACTTTTAAAAAGCTGCATTATTGCTAACAGGGAATCACCACTTTTACTGTTTTTAGGCCATTTATGCTGTGTAATATTTCACTTCACTGTCTTCCTTGGCGGAACGCCATGCCAATCCTCAATTATCAGAATAGCCCATATTAAATTTGTGGTCTGAATAAAGAAGCTTTTAAAAACATCTACACTAGCACTAGCAACTTGAATTTTTGGTGTTTTTGGCTTCGTGCTTCTAGGAGCAAATATACATTCCTTGCTCCTAGAAGCATGAAGCCGAAAACACCAGCCTGAAGATGACGAATGAGACTTCGTCGAAACGTCACCAAGAAACTTCCAATTTGACGCAGGAGAAAACCCGAATAATCAAAGACCTACACACACACACACACACACACACACACACACACACACACACACACACATATATATTGGAAAATTTGCATAAAAATATGACTCCTGGGTGCAGATGCCGGCAAAACCCATTTAAGTCATCATTGTTTACTGGCTCCTTAGCCCTGATGATGTTTGGAGTTTCCAAACGAAAGCTTGGCAGCTTTTAGTAAAGTATATTTTTATATTTATACTCTCCTGGTGTTCGTATTTGCATAAAAATACGACTCCTGGGCATGTCTATGGTACGAATAAAATACGAACACCAGGAGAATATAAATATAAAAATATACTTTACTAAAAGTTGCCAAGCTTTCGTTTGGAAACTCCAAACATCATCAGGGCTAAGGAGCCAGTAAACAATGATGACTTAAATGGGTTTTGCAGATGCTGGCAAAACCCATTTAAGTCATTATTGTTTAATGGGTCCTTAGCCCTGATGATGTTTGGAGTTTCCAAACGAAACCTTGGCAGCTTTTAGTAAAGTATATTTTTATATTTATATTCTCCTGGTGTTCGTATTTTATTCGTACCATATATATATATATATATATATATATATATATATATATATATATATGTATGTATGTATGTATGTAGGTAGGTAGGTAGGTAGGTAGGTAGGTAGGTAGGTAGGTAGGTAGGTAGGTCTTTGGTTATTCGGGTTTTCTTCCACGTAAAATTGGAAGTGTCTTGGCGACGTTTTGACGAAGTCTCATTCGTCATCTTCAGGCTGGTGCTTTCGGCTTCGTGCTTCTAGGAACAATGTGTGATTGTAGCTGTTTCCTCCTTTTAACTGCCAGTGGGGGTATGAACTGATTGGATGAGAGCTTGGCTGTGTTCTGATTGGATGGAGGTGTATTCTGATTGGTTAGGAGCTTGGCTGTGCTCTGATTGGCTGGGGGGTTGGCTGTGCTCTGATTGGCTGGGGGGTTGGCTGTGCTCTGATTAGCTGGGGGAGTGTTCTGTTTGGGTGGGGGCTTTGTTGTGCTCAGGTTAGTCTGAGTTGCAGGGTGGTTTAAAATGGTGAACTGCATTGCTATTTTTTGGCTTCGTGTTCATGGTTGTGCCTCATCTTCATGGTGGGTGTCAGTTTGCTTCGTGCCACCATGAAGATGGAGCACGAAGCTGAAAGCACCAGCCTGAAGATGACGAATGGGACTTCGTCGAAACGTCACCAAGACACTTCCAATTTTACGCAGGAGAAAACCCGAACAACCAAAGACCTACATACAAACACCTGCGAAAACCTCAGAAAACAAATATATATATATATATATATATATATATATATATATATATATATATATATATATATACACACACACACACACACACACACACACACACACACACACACACACACACAACTGGATATATGTATATCCAGTCGTAATGAAATACTTTAATTTTAAAATATACTTTTGAGAGGAAAATAAACGAATAGTACAGAGTGAGACTGGCCCCAAACTAATCAAGGGCTAGGACATATAGAGAGCTCTTTGGCAACAGATGGTGCCTCCTTAAGGATTGAATGTTTTTGGACTTTTACATACACAAAATATTGGCATATACCATAAAAAAAGAAAAGAGGGTTGGTAGTCAGTGGCCAATATAGTCTTTGACTCAAATGAAAACAATATTGCATGTTATAAGGTCAACTGAAGTCATTCAATTTGTAGGGCATAGAGGAAGAACAAGATCTTACGAGGAGCTAATTTTATGCATTGTTACACATCAAGAAAAATAATGTATGTGTTTGTAATTAGGTTTTCGATTCATGAAACCTTTTCTGTCTGTAAGAATGCATCAGTGGAGATGACAAGAGAGCTGTTGCCTCATACAAAGTTACATGTAAATAGATGAATGGAAGCACATTGGGGAAAGGTTTACGCCAATGTTAACGTTTATTTCTTAGGCTTCATAAAGGCCAATAGAGTTGGTACTGAAGTGAAAAGCTTTTCCTAACGATGGGTAGTCCTTGGCTTAAGACCGCAATTGGGACCAGAATTTCCATTAATAAGCAGGGTGGCTGTTAAGTGGGTTGGGCTCAATTGTTTGCCCTTGTTGTTAAACAAATCACTGCAGTTGTTAAGTGAGTCATGTGGGTTGACAAACTAATTAGATAATCAGATTAGCTTCTTTCATTGGCCAGTCGTAAGTCACTTTTTTTGGTGCCATTGTAACTTTGAATGGTCACTAAATGAATGGTTGTAAATTGAGGACTACCTCTGTTCTCTGAATCAGATTACAGATTACAGATTCCCAGTTTTGGCAGTCAAATATATAAAACCAGATAGTTTCTTTTTATTTTCCAGTCATAATCTACAGATGACTTAAAGCAAATCTGCTACTAACTTTCAGAATGATTGGTTTTGGGTACCTCCAAAAATATTTAAAATCGTGCCTAAGAATGGATTTCCCATGACATTGATATTGGTCTCTAAAACCCCGTATGACTTGAGCGAGGTGGTTTAGGATGTATGCAATAAGAAATTAAATAAAGAAATAAAAGCAGACAAATTATTTAAGTAACTAAATATTTGTTCTTTGCTTTTGTTTCCCAGGATGCAATTTTTTGGGCACAGAGTTCTGTTATTTTAGTCTTGACATGTTAAATTGTTTTAAAGATCTCAATAGTGATTTTTTCCCCCCCTCTCACTTTCAAATCAACCGGCAGAGCTTTGCACTGGGTTACTCCACAAATGCTTTGTGTTCCTGTCAATGAAGAAATCCCTGAAGTCTCGGATGTAGTTGTGAAAGCTATCACGGGTATGTAAAGGGCTGATGGGTTGGGAGAGGGGATGTTTATTGAACTTGAATGTTTTCACCATAGTAAAAAAAAAAATCACCAGCTCAATCCCAGGAGCAAACTTGTCTTGTATTAGAAGGCTAGTAAGAAGAATGTGAATTTAGCCTGTGGTACTTACATTTCTTTTTTTGTGAAAATCTTGTTCAGGAGTGATTTCTTAAAAAAACAACAAATATATCATGGGATAATACATTTCTCGTGTGGCTGGTTCATACATAAAAAGTGAAACCTATATTACCATTTGTTAGCTTTTCTGCTTGGCAATATACATGTTAGTATGAAAATATGTAAGAATAATATTGCAAGGGTAATGTTGGCTACATCCAACGGGTGTAGAACCAGAATTCAGAGTGATATGAGAGTACTACCTGCTTCATTCTCTTTTCATCCTCCCCGCCCAGGAAGGACTTTTTAATGGGAATTTAATGGGAATGAAGTGGAAATTATTCACACTCACTACTTAACTGTTTAGAAGAATACTTTGGCCCACTAGGTTTGTACAGACGTAGGTAGTTGGTGTCCCTAATTTCTAAGGAATTCTTCCTGCCCTCTCCTTTTTCTTCCTTACATATCTTTCACTTCTTCCTGGAATAATTGCCTGGAATTCTTTAAAACTCCTTGTAGAATAAGTCTCCTTTTGCCATTAAATATTTTCATAGCAATTGATTTCCTCAAGGCCAAAAATCTGGGTCATTAAGCCTTCTGTCCCTTCTAGTTCTGGCTTGAGACTTGAGAAGATCTTATTCTATAGTTGGGATTATGAATTGATGGCCATTCAGATGTGACTTATCTATAACTCTCAGCAACTCACAATCTTGTGTCATTAACTGAAAAATTGTCATTCAGCAGCTGTCTGAACTTAGATGTTTAGTTGTGTTACTCCAGTGCTATAAAAATTATTGTTAATGTTTTATACTGCCTGCATATGGAAGGCTAAATACAGTAACTGAGGGTTCATCATTCAGAGCTGTCATAAATAAATAACCCGGTTCATTGTAACTGTACCTTTAACTGTCAATCATTTGAATCCCCTGCAGAGTCTTATATAAGCTATAAAACAATTTTAGGACAGACATATATTTTAAGGAAAAATGATAATAGTGCAGCCAGCAGCATTTTCAAGGCATTCCTTTTTCCTTTTAACTCGTAAGAGAAAAGCCTCCTGAAAGAATAGCACTTTATGTCATTCTTTTAAGTAGCCAACTATTTAAAATTGTCTAAATCATTTTTGGATCATTTGGCTTATCAGTGGATTAATTATATTAAATCTTGCATTTTTTTTCTTATACGGCAGACTGCTAACTGATAAGGCTTTTTTTCTTCTCCTTTCCTGGTATTTCCCTATCAGTGCAGGATCCATTTTTTTTTTCCAGATCAGCTGCATGTTGTTCCATTGGCTGCAATAGGAATTGACCAATCATCTTGTCACCCAGACTTAATGTTGTGGGCTGAAAGAGAATGACTGATCCAAAGTCACCCAGCCAGTTTTCATACCTAAGGGGAAACTAGAACTCACAGTCTCCTGGTTTCTAGCCTTTAAAAGAAAGATAGCGTACAAGATTTGATAAACACTAAGTATGGAGGGTGGGACAATTAAAGTGGAAAGAGCCCTGGCAAGGAATGCAGCCCTCTTTGATTCTTGGGATTGTTTTCCTCTTGCAGACATCATTGAAATGGACTCGAAGCGTGTCCCCCGGGACAAGTTAGCCTGCATCACTAGCTGCAGCAAGCACATCTTTAACGCCATCAGGACCACAAAGGCTGAACCAGCTTCAGCTGATGACTTTTTGCCCACTCTCATCTACATTGTCCTGAAGGGCAACCCACCCCGCCTGCAGTCTAACATTCAGTATATTACTCGATTCTGCAATCCTGGCAGGCTGATGACCGGGGAGGATGGATATTATTTTACAAACCTGGTAAGTTGGTCTTTGATTGTAACTCTCTTTTTAGGGGAATTTGAAGAAGAACTATATATTGTCAGATACTGAACCTATTTTTCTAGTTTTCTCTTAATGGAAGAGAAGCTGAACTTGATCATCATCATCATTATTTATTTAAATTTATTGGCCGTCCAACTCATCCGAAATTGTCATTATATAGAATTGGATTTTTGGCTCATCTGGTTCTGTGTCCTTATTTGTGGCCTGTTTTCTGGATCTTGAACCTACAGTCATGAGGCACTATGGAGAAGCTGTATGATGCACATACATCAAGGAAATCTAACATCCTATGTTCATGCAGATAATTAATATATTAAATATATTGAAAAATACCAACCGTCTTATTCTGCTGTTGAAATACCAGGAATAAAACCTACATGTACTTAAAAAAAAAAGAGGTCTGCAATAACAACTTTCAATATTCTTGCTATGTTTGCTAGATAGGAATGGGAAGCCAGGTATGACTGAATTATTGCACAGAACTAAAATTAAAACTAGAAAAAACTTTAATTGGGTTTGTACAGTGACCTACAGTGGAGATGTGTACTTAGCTATTCTTTGTGTGTTGAGAACCCAGCCATGACATTAATATGTTTTTAACCAGGCCATTATATTAACCCACAATATAGTCTCTTTATGCAAGTTTTATTATTTAAAAATTGTGTTTTGTTAATCCAAACCTAGCTTTAACATGAAGTATGGTATATATTTGAGGATGTGAACAATGTAGGCATGGAAGTTTTAAAAAATAACAGTGCCTTTTCTATATTTATTTGTGTCATTTATCTACTATTTCAATTGTCATGGACTCTAGGTAGTTTAATGATATTGCTCTATGGCTAATGATAGTCTAGGAGGGGCATATTCACTCTTTCTCTCACTCTATCATACACACAGCTGTTGCAAGATGAATAAAAGTTTGCATGTATCAGAATACACAAACTGCAATATGTAATGTAACATATACTTCAGAAAGGGAGTTATGCATGCATAAGTAAATTTCTAATTAAGATTGTGGCCCTCCAACAAAAAAAACCTGATCAAATGGAACAATTTTTGATAAACTGACATTATTTATTATTACTGGTATTATTGTTATTAAGTAGTAATTTAAACTATCTTCTACAAAAAGTTTCATTATCAAGGTTTATAACATATTTTAAGTGTCACATCAAATAGTTTGCATATGAATGGAGCTGATGTTAACCTTATGCAACCTGAAAAACTAAACTCTTTGCTTTTGCAGTGTTGTGCTGTTGCCTTCATAGAAAAGTTGGATGCTCAGTCCTTAAATCTGAGCCAGGAAGACTTTGACCGCTATATGTCTGGCCAGACCTCTCCAAGGAAACAAGAACCTGAGAACTGGCCAGCCAATGTATGTGTGGGGATGCGCCAAATGTACAGGAATCTTGGTCTCCTCTCACAACTGAATGAGAGGCAGGAGAGGATTGTCAGTGAGGCCAAAAAGCTTGAGAGGGACCTTATTGATTGGACTGATGGGATCACCAAGGAAGTCCAGGAGATTGTGGAGAAGTACCCTTTGGAGATTAAAGCCTCAAACCCAGCCTTGGCGGCCATTGACTCTGAAAATGTTGAAAATGACAAACTGCCCCCTCCACTTCAACCTCAGGTTTACGCTGGATGAGAATGGCATCAAGACTCAGATATTCCTTCCTTCCTGTTTTTGTCTGCTTGGCAGATAGGCTAAGGGGAGGGGGAATGAAACACATTTAAAATTGGCACGTTTTAAAGGTACTCTTTGTTGGTAGATGTGTTCCATGATATTTATTTTAGTCAGAGTTGGTTACTATGAGGGCTGAATTTTTATGTGTTCCTGAAATTAATTATCATTTCTTTTTACAGAAATTCAATATAATTTTTAAGGAATGCTTTGGGGATTGTTTTCTTCAAAGCATGCACATGTTTTAAAATCTACTGGTGGATAGTTGTGCTATCTTCACTCCCTAAACATAGTTGCTTATCACACTTTGCCAAGAATGCTGTGTTTGAGAAAGAAGTGTAAAGGATTCTTAATCTTTGTTTTCAGAAAAGGATGTGTTGTAAAGTAAATATTTAAGATTGTAAATAGGTTTGAATGTTGAGCAATGTCTTAATAGCATGACATTTAGCAAAGAATGGAAACCGGGTTTTTTAATTTCTTCACTCTTTAAGTTTTTGGTTTATAGTTTTGATCCAGAATAGGAAATACCAAGGAAACACTACATTGTAGCAAATAACTAATTTGAACACAGTTCTAATATGACTAAAGTCATTTCTTAATATGTATGATTTCTTATCTGAATTTTCAGCCTGGAATAGCGTCCTTTTTGCTGTTCTGATCTCTAGCAATTGCATACTTGGACCTTTATGAAGATCAGAGCAGAATTGGATGGTAGCTGTGGGTATATGTGTGAAATGCTGGAGTTTAAATTGGTCTAAAAATCACAAGATACAAGAAGATTCTGGCTTTAAAAGTAACTTAGTGTTTTTTTTTAAATAATTTGCTTCATAATACTTGTGCATAGCCTTCAAAGAAATGATTAGTGCGGCATGAGACTATCTTGTGCTTGAAAAATCAAAGAATGAGGTACACAAAAGAAAGTTTATGATTGCTTTCCTGAATCACATTTTTAAATGGATTGGTCCACTGAATTATAAATGGTCAGAAAACAGAAATATGGACAATCCTTAAGGCAGTAAACTGGCTTATGCAATTTTGTGAACTATATACGTTTTTATATGACTTTGAACAAAATAGGAATCTATATTATTATATTGCTGAACTACAGCTTCCAGGATTTGCCTTGATTGCTATGATGGCTGGAATAACTGTCTCCTTCAAGAGGGACCCATTGCTTTCTCAATTCTTTCACTGCTGTCCCGAAGATTAATTCATCAACAGTACACATATCACTGTGAATGACTGTCTTTTCTTCCCCTCCAGCCTTTTCAGTATTCTTAGTAGTATGATGATCCAGCCAATTCAAATCTTCTCTTTGGCCAAAGATTTAGCATGGCTGTGTGGATGCAAGAATTTGCCAAACTGGATGAATTAGTCAGCCTTTCCCAGCATGTTAGACTATGATTATTGTTTTCCTAAGGAAGATACACGTTGGGATGATAGAACTGTAGTCCAGGAAATACAGGGGGTACCAAGTTAGAGAATGCTGAATTTATCTATGGGTGATGCTTTTTTAACTTTTTACTTTATAAATTAAAGTAAAGCTCCCCATTAATTTGTCAGAGCTAAATTTGGCAGGTTCTTTGAAAGGCCAGGTTGAGTTGTGTGAAACTATATTAAGCATTTTCCTGAAGGGTATAGTTTAAATGCAATTCCCTCCAATTGCTGAAGTCATGTTAAATGTCTGAGACTTGTGTGTGTGTTCAAGATCTTGGATATCCTGATTATCACTAAGTCTCAAACTTCATAATTGAAGGGGGGAAAAAAACTCTTTGCAGTGTTACCTGTTTTTAATATTAGAACACTTAAAATACCAACTCTTTTTCTTATGCTTTTCTCAACTCTTTGAGTCTTATTTGTACTTCTGGGAAACATGGGATTCCTAAGTGTTCCATTCCAAACCGTGTTTTTGGGCAACATATGAAAAAGCCAACTTTATAACATTTTAGCTGTACAGGTATTTATCTGATTTTGCAATAAGGTCAGACCAAGACTGTGACCTGTTTTGTGTATGCCTGCTTTAAAAAGCATATCAGTTTTCAGCTTGCAACTCAGCCAGTGTCTGAGTTTCTTGAAAGGTTAAATATTTATGTTCTTTTCCCTTCCTCAATTAAATTTGTGGAAGTGAAGTAAACAAGCTATTCCTTTGGCTACAGAAAGTCCATGTTGGTCAGATTTTTCAATTTTCAGAGTTTTGTTTCTTGGCCTCATTGTTTGACACTCTAGGTGCTAATTCAGATTTTCCAGGTATATATTTCACTCCAAAAAGGCATCATTATAGCTACTGCTGTTAAATTGCTGTCAACAGAAATAAACCATATACAATGTGACTCATTATTAGTCAACAGAAATCTTGATTTACAATTTTTTATATATCATTGATGCTTCAAGTTTAGTCACAAATCTGTTAAAGCCTGAAAAGCTTGTAACTGCTAATGGTATCAAATTATCTTTAATTATACTTTATTACTCTTGGGGGCAAAAAAGGGACCTCATTTTCAATTACAAAACTGAGCATGCCTTTTTTTCTGTAATCTAATAGGAAAGAACCAAGGTCAGTCCTATCCTTCCTGAATGGTATCAGGTTGACTTTTCTTCACCATTCATAACATGTTTAAAGGTGATAAATTATTTTATAGAATCTGGCATGTCATTCGAGGGCCATGTGTAATTTTAGGTTGAGAGAAAATTAGTCTCTTTTGGGGGATTTTCTTAGAGGCCTTGAAACTGGGGGACTCAAAGAACCACTATTGATACAGATAGTCTTCAACTTACAACCATTTATTTATTGACTGACTGAAGTTACAATGCATTGGGAAAAAAAAGTTTTGACCAATCCTCACACTTATAACCCCATAGTCATGTGATCATAATTTGGGCACTTGGCAACTGACATGTATGTATGAAATCGCAGTGTCCCAAGGTGATCAACGTTTGTGACTTCCAACTTCTACAAGCAAAGTCAATGGAGGAAGCTGGATTTGCTTAATAACTGTGTTTCATTGAGAACTACAGCAATTTGCTTAACAAGTGTGCCAGAAAAGGTTGTAAAATCAGCCACTGGGCTTATCAATGAAAATTCTGGTCCCAGTTGTGGTGGTACGTTGAGGTCACAACACATTCTAGAGCAGTGTTTTTAAACTTGCTAGCTAGAAATTCTGGGAGTTGAAGTCCACGCATCTTAAAGTTGCCAAGATTGAAAAATACAGTTCTAGACTTCTGGGGAAACTGCAAAAAAGACCCTCTATTTCACACCTGCCAAAATAGATGTACTTGTTGGTAGGCAAAATGCTGGCAGGCTGATATGGATGGAAAAGATTCTGCAAGAAACCTTGTAGAACTTGTTCAACAAGGTTTTAAAAGGGGGGGGGGTGCAACCTGCAAAAGTGACTTGTGGCTAGTTTTTGTTTCTCTGTGGCACACTAAGAAAGCAGCATTTCCCCTTTAGGGAAGCCAATAAGGAAGCAAAAACCAGGTATCTGAACTGGGGGGGCGGGAAGCAACCTCTTCCTTCACAGGCAGCAGTCACAACCAGCTTAGTTTGAGTTGTGCTGTTTTTTTTCTCTTGCAAGAAAATGGCCTGGTTACACATTTTGTTCATTTCTTGCTTTTCCTGACATTGCTCTTAGCCATGGGTGGTTTCCATTATCCTTGCTTTCTACCTAATCCAGGGAGCAGATAGGTGTGGCTGAGTCTTTGTGGCATATAGTTGGGGCAGGGAATGGGTGGTGGTTAAATAGGATTTATCAGTTGATGCACTCACAGACATTTAATGGAGATACTTACAAGAGTTCAGTGATCATATGCAATGCAGAAATGTTCATGGCACACACAGCTTGTGGAGAATCTCTATTAACCTACTACACAAACTTAATTACGTTGCTTAAGTATTACACATACACCCACTTATGCTCACTGTTGTACGATAGCCAGAATACGTACCCTGACTGGAGAAGATCAGAGTGCTTTGTAGATAATTGCATGCATGAATTGGGAGTCTTTATCAAAGGTTGTCATTTTATTCTTTGCCAGCAACATCTGTCACATTTTCCACATCAACCTTTCGCTCATCTGTTAAATAGCCCAGTCAAACTTTACCCACTGCATGGGAAATTAACTCTGAACTTTCTTTTCTCTGGTTGCTGTCCTTTGGTCCTGGTTTGAGCTTGATGAATCATTTCCTTGTGACCTCTTTTTTCTGGTAGCTGTTGTCCAGACCTGGTCTGATAACCTTGATTCTTTCTTCTCTGCAGATCTGCATTTTATGTCAGGTTCAAATTCTGTTCATCTCTCTCTCCCAATATTTTATTTCTTGTAATAGCCTGAGAGATACTGGTGAATCAGCAATTGTGCATAGGGTATGTGTGCATCTTTAGCTCCTATCCTGAGCTTATTGTGAAGTGTAAAGCTGCCTTGTTTGGTTAGTTTGGGAACCAGTGTAGGTGTAATCCTCACTCAGCAACTACACTTGGGACCAGCAGCTTGGTCATTAAGTGAAGTGTTTGCTAAATGAAACATGATTTTACAATCTTCAGCTTTCTTTTGCTTTACAAATCTGCAAAGGTTGTAAATGCAAAGACTAGCCACAGAGTTACTTTTTCATCACCATTGCAACTGCAAGGGAGTCACTAAACAAGGATTACCTGTTTGGTGCAAAACCATAAAACAGGTTACTTCAGTGGTACCTGTTTTATAGTTTTCAGCAAAACCATAAAACAGGTTACTATCTGATTATGTATTATCTCTGAATACAACCAAGATGTGAATTGTTGATCAGTTCTCTTAAACTGGCTAGATGACTTTGGGTCAATCACTCTCTCAGCTTAACTCACTTCACAGAGTTGTTATGGGGAAAACAGAAGGAGGAAGGAGTATTAGGTATGTTTGCCATCTTGAGTTATTGGTAAAAATAATAAAGTTGGACAAAAAAATTTAAAAAGAAGTATAGCTCACCATTGACTTTGTCGTGGCCCAGACAAAATTGTGGAAAGTCCATGTTTAACAGAATGATGGTTGTGTTCCTTCAACTGACCTTTAGTCAGCTGTCTCTCCCTTTTTGAAAATAAAATATTTATGGAAGTTAAATATTCATGAACTGTTTGGAATGAGGATTTTTAATGTACTAGATGATGAGAGAGGCTTTTGATAACATAAAATTTTGGTCTACTTATTAACCAGCCAGGTTTCCTGTACTATTCAGATGAAAGTCACCTTTAATACGGTTTCTTTTATGATATTGGAGTTTTATGTCAGTGTAAAGGAGAACTAATATTTGTTGCTTTATCACAGAGGTGAGCAAGCTTTCTGAGGAGTGGTTGGATGGGGAACTACAAGGAAATCTTGGAGCTGGACTGGGAAATGAAAAATAATCCCAAAAAATAGTACATATGATCCTCAATTATTATTATTATTAATAATAATAATAATAATAATAATAATAATAATCAAATAGAAGAGAAAGAACTGGAGAAGATAACAAAATACAAAGACCTACAAATAGAAATAGAAAGACTGTGGCAAAAGCAAGCAAGGGTAGTACCAATAGTCATGGGCTCCTTGGGTGCAATCCCAAAACAACTGGAGCACCACTTGAACACCATTGGCATTGACAAATTCGCTATTAGTCAATTGCAAAAGGCGGCCTTATTAGGAACTACTTCCATCCTGCGACGATATCTGTAATACCATCAAACATCCACATCTGCCTATCCCAGGTCCTGGGTAAGGACTCGATAGGTAGACAAAATGCCAAATCCAGTCTGAACATCTGGCTGACTGTGCGGTGATCGATAATAATAATAATGTTGGAAGGGACCTTGGAGGTCATCAAGTCCAACCCCCTTCTCAGGCAGGTAACCCTATACCATTTTGGACAAATGGCTGTCCAATTTCTTCTTAAAAACTTCCATTGTTGGAGCATTCACCGCTTCTGGAGGCAGGTTGTTCCACTGGTTAATTGTTCTAACTGTCAGGAAATTTCTCCTTAGTTCTAGATTGCTTCTCTCTTTGATTAGTTTCCATCCATTGCTTCTTGTCCTGCCTTCAAGCACTTTGGAAAATAGCTTGACTCCCTCTTCTTTGTGGCAGCCCCTGAGATATTGGAAAACTGCTATTATGTCCCCCCCTCGTCCTTCTCTTCATTAAACTAGACAAACTCAATTCCAGCAACCGTTGCTTATATGTTTTAGCCTCCAGTCCTCTAATCATCTTTGTTGCTCTTCTCTGTACTCTTTCTAAAGTCTCAACATCTTTTTTACATTGTGGTGACCAAAACTGGATGCAGTATTCCAAGTGTGGCCTTACCAAGGCATTGTAAAGTGGTATTAATACTTCACGTGATCTTGATTCTATCCCTCTGTTAATGCAGCCTAGCACTGTGTAGCAACTATCTTATACACAGCAACCATTCGTAGTTATACAAAAGGTAACTTTGCGACCAATCCTCACATTTATGACCTTCATGGTCTGTAAAGCAAATGAAAGCTGAAATAAACTTAAAAGTTTAAAGTAGCACTTTGCTTAATGTCCCTATTTTTGTCACTAAACAAGCACTACCTGTAATACGAAACCAAAAGAGGGATAGGTGATGGATTTGTGCCCTAAGTCATCAGTCTTAGTCTATATTCAAATTATATTCAAACTATATTCAAATATCTTATTTACTTGGCTTGTAACATTTAGACATTTCTTGTTTCAAAATGAAATATAAGGTAGAGGGTCCTTGGTGCTCTCTGAGCTTGGTTTTTTTCTCGCAGACGTTTCATTACCCAAACTAGGTAACATCATCGGTACTCTGGGTGATGAATCATCTGCAAAAAAAACCAACTAAACTCAGAGAGCACCTAGCACTCCCTCATTTCAACCCCAAGCTACAAATATTCTCCTTTATTGAAAAATAAGGTGCCCATTGCTGATAATTTGAGTAGCTGAAATCTGCAAACTACTGGGAATATAGATGTGACACATTTAAAAATAAATTGGAACTTGAATTAAGCAGTAACATGGCCAAAATTGCTATTCAAAACTAAATTACTACAGCTGGGGAAAACTCAAGCCGTCTGAGAAGCTCCAAAAAGACATCTGTCTTCAAACTAGGTCAACGGGCAGCCAAATTTAGCAATAAAGTTTAGTATATGAGTGTAAAGCAATGGCCACTAGGGAGAAAAACCATCCACTCCATCTTCAAGCAGCAGTGGAAAATGGAAAAAGGTTACTTGGAAAAGAGCAGGCAATAAATATTGCTTTCACCCCAAAGAAAGATGCCCCTGAATTTAGGAAGATCCTCACCTCCAAAAAAGATTAGCTAGAAAAGAAATCTTTCCATAAACTTTGTAGCTTAGGTATCTGGCTAGATGGAGAAAATGTGCAGAATGGTTCAAAATGACATTTCTAGCTAGAACTGATGAATCTGACTGCAGTTCTAAATCGATGGCCCATTGTTTGAGATTAGCTAGTGCACATTCATAGCTCATCAGGGTGAGGGCTGCCCATGTAATGCCATTAAGATCACAATTTAATAAATCATAACCTGTCAGTTATAATGAAAGAGGCTAAGCCAACTGGAAAAAAAGAGAGCTTAAGGCAATAGGAGAAAATGTAAATCCAAGCAGAGGTTTCTATTTTAAGAAGGCCAGCTTCACAACAAAGCACCATGTTCAGAATACAGCGAGGTGCTGAAGAATAAACCTCTGAAATTTGGATTTAAGATAAGGTGTAGGAGGAGACTAATCTTCCTTGTAGACATTCCATTTACTATGTGTAGTCTGTGTATCTGCTGGCTCTATTTATCATATTGGTGTTACCATAGTTTCCAGTCCCATTGCAAAAAAGGATCCTGTAGGGAAACTTTAAAAGTACTGTATGAGGGATTGAAGTTCTTTTGTAAGAAGCCCGTTTCTTTATTGCAGAAAAAAGAAATAAAGTAGTATAATGTTTTGCTTGCCATGGTGAAATTGGATAGAGATGATTTTTACTCTCCATCTCTTATTGAACAAGAATAACCTTAATTGCCAGGATATGCTGCAGCCAGGCAGACAAAAGTAAATACATCAGGGACAGTCACTGAGATTCCTTTGCCCCCAAATGTGATAGTGGCTAAGGAGATTTTAAAACGAGGTCCATCCAACGTATAGTTCAATATTTGAATTTATCAAGTGGTGTGTTTGTTTTCATGCAAGGCAATAAAGCAGATCAATTAAAACATAGTTCCAAGACTGCAGACTCTTAGCATAGTAGGCCATGACTTCTGGAAACAAGTACAGCCGTGAAAGCAATTATATTGACATAGGCCTACTTCTCATCATACCCAAAATTAAACACTATTTTGCATTTCTCAGAGTTCCAAAAAGGACTTGAAGTTGGCTGAGAAGTGTTATCTCTATGACATCTTTCTCTTATGCTCTCATAATCTCTTGACTTCAGTGTACTGAGGTAAGATGCAGTCTGCTGTTTCAGTGGAACAGGGAAAAGACTCAAATTTGGTGCAATTTGCTTCTAAGAATTTCTCTGTTCCTTTTTAAGTCTGGGGAAAATGCCTGTATTCTGTGATCAGAAAATGGCCTGCAATATAGCCTTGGACTTTGCTAAAGACAAAGGAGGTTTTCTGTACCTCAAGAGAGGTCTCTAGGTGGGTTAAGCTTTCCTGCCTTCAGCTGATGGAAGTGAACTGCAACAGTTATATTTCTAAATGAGATGTAAGGCAATGCTGATGTTTACTACATTATAAGTGTGATAGCTGAGAACAGCTGTTAATTGGAATTCGAGAGATGCAGTGTCTGGGAAGATGATACAAAATAGATAAAGGAGAACATCTATAAACAAAGGATGATTCCTGAGTTTGGAAGCAAAGGAGAGCAGCCACTTGGGTGGAAGAGCATCAAATCTCAGTGCTGTAGGCTAGATGGAGAGCGGGGGGGGGGGGAACATCCTAGAGGAGGTAGTGGTAAATAACCTCTTTTCCATTGCAAAGGAAACAACTTCACAAAGTTCCTAAGAACTGAGCTCAATGCAAAGGAAACTTTACTTTGGGCATATTTGTATGCATGTACGTGAGTTTCCTTTGAAATAGATTCAGCAGGGAAGCCACAACAGAAGAATTATGTGCTCTGCATAAAAATAGGGAACTATACAACTAACCTATGGCAATAATTATAATAATTGCAAGCAAGAACTGATGGGATCACAAAATAGACAAAGTAATAGAAAATGAAGGAACTAACATGCTTTAGGACTTTTGAATTCAAACAGATAAATGCCTGTCACATAATTCCCCAGACTTAACAAGTGTCGATAAGAAAGACAATTCTGGATAGTGATGTGGAATTTGCAGGCAGCAGAACTGAACAGAAAGAACTGGAGAAAACAAAGATCAGCCAGTGCTAAAGGTAGCATGACTCTCAAAAGAAATCAAAGATAGTTCCAATACTAATAGGTGCCTTGGATGCAATCCCAAACATCGGAAACACTACTTGAATATCATCAGCATGGATAAAATCACCATCAGTCAATAGCAAAGTATAGCTTTACCTGAAACAACTTACATCCTGTGATACCTTTAACACCATCAAACAACAACATCTGTCTATTGCAGTGGATAAAAGGTGGATAAAGGTCGGTAAAAAGTCACATCCAGTTTAAACATCTGGCTGACTGTCCACCAACCATAACAATGATTCACCACCAGGCAATTGCAAAAAGGAGCTTTACTTGAAATGGCTTACATCTTGCAATATCTTTAATACTATTAAACAACATCTGCCTGTTCCAAGTTCATTGGAAGGACTTGATAGATGGACAAAAATGCAAAATCCAGTTTAAACATCTGGCTGTGTAACCAGCCACAATAATAATCTCCAAATATTATTGTCTCCAATATTTGGCATTAGGGCTACAGGGATTCTGGGAGTAGCAATAAAAGCAGAGAGACAGCTTATAAATCACTTTTGGCCCTAGGACTACAAGTTTTTGATACAACATAAGGTAAAATGCCACCGCCTTCCTTTCTTGTAAATTGAGACTGTCTAAGACTCTAAGTAGTGGCTCATCTGTGGGAAGCCAGTTTTTCCTTAAAAAAAAAAATCCCTACA